CCGTGACGACCTGACTGAATTGATTTTTATGCATCATCATACTTTATATAGCTCCCGTACTATACATCCATACATTGATTCTACAATCTCACCTCTGCCATGAAATGAGAAGTACCACTCAATCAGACCATCATGACAGTAACACAAACCATGAAGCCACAAAAGTCACGCCCCCAGCAAGTAGTATAAAAAGTCAACACAAGTATGATCTATCAATTTCTTCTGTCTTCAATCTTCAAAACCCCACCACCATCTTCACACCATCAATTTCATCCAAAATGAACCCCAACAACTTCCTCCCCAATCCCCATTCCCATCAGCATCACCAACCCCCCTCCCAAACCCACTATCACCACCAACCCCCAACCCTAACAACCTACCTAACCCACCTCCCCTTCCTCCCCCTCCACGACCGCATCACCTCCCTCCACCATCTATCCCAATCACTCACCCCCCGAATAACCCCCACGGGCACACGCCTCATCACCCACCCATCCTTCACCGGCCCCGCACCCCTCGACTACCTCGGCACCATCTACATCACGACAGGTCGCGACTGCGTGGCCAACAACGCCGACCTGAGCACACGCATCCTGCACGCCGACGTCGGCGCGCTTCTCGAAACCATCTACGAAAAGAGCAGGGAGTTGCTGGATGCCGGAATCCAGGACGGGAGCGTCGTCTTGTCCGAGGAGAATAAGCTCCGGGATGGTGCGGGGGCGTGTTGTCGTGGTGAACCGGAGGTGATGTTTCGGGAGGGGTGGGCGGTGGATGAAGCGTTGTGGTTTTATAGAGTGGATTTTGAAAGCAGATGGGAGGTTGCGGATCGGGATGGGGAGAGGGTGTTGTTTAGGGCGAGTGTTGGCATGTTGGAGAGGGCGGCGGCGTGGGAGGGGGAGGGGATGTAGTTGGTGGTGGTAATGGCGGTGTGCTACGCTGTTTTAGTTGGATGTTTGGATAGCTAGCTAGGAGCTACTAGTATAGTTTGTTGATCTGCCGGGTGGATGTAACCTGATAGCAGTATGGAGGAATAGCTCTGTGCTCCCATCTTCTAGTATTTGCTGGGATGGGTGGTGGAGTGGAGTATCCGGGGTAGATCTACAGTGGGACAAAGAAGTATTTGATTTATTGTTGACTTGGGTATATGGTGCTTTCGAATGAGTTTATCCCTGTTAGTACCAAGGATGGTATTTATACAACATACATTAAAGTGATTAAAGTATGGCTGTCCCTGCATCAAGACCCTTTATCCGAAGTTGCCCCTCCGATGATCGGTGCGGGGGAGATTCTGAGCTCATCGCGGGGTTCCGGATATACCCTCATCCCGGGATATAAGCCGGCTTTTCCTACCAATTATTTAATCACTATAGATACTTTCTATCCACCACTACTACACGCAATCATTCTACATAGACACACCATCAAGATGCCTCCCAAAGTAGCCATTCTCGATGACTACCAAAACATCTCGCCCCGGCACTTTGCCCACCTGACCTCGCGCGTCGACATCAGCTACTTCCCCGACACACTGAACCCGCGCGACCCCGCCCAGCACAAGCAACTCATCCAGCGCCTGTACCCATTCGAGATCATCGTTACTCAGCGCGAACGCACTCCCTTCTCCAAGGAGACCTTGTCCGCACTCCCCAACCTCAAGCTCCTTCTCACCACTGGCACGCGCAACCTCGCCTTGGACTCCGCCTACTGCGCGGAGCGGGGCATCCCCGTCGCAGGCACAAAGTACCGCCTCACCGGCGTCCACTCCACAGTGCAACACACGTGGGCACTGATCCTGGGAGCAGCGCGACACATTGCGCGCGACGATGCAGCCATCAAACGCGGCGAATGGCAAGGATCACTCGGTCTGTCGCTGGCGGGCAGAACGCTCGGGTTGCTCGGTGTCGGGAAGCTCGGGGCGCAGGTGGGGCGGGTAGCAGTCCAGGCATTCGGGATGAAAGTGATTGCGTGGTCGACGAACCTAACGCAAGAGAAAGTGGACGAGCAAGCAGAGGCGATGGGATTACCTACAGGTAGCTTTGAGGCTATTCCCCAGAAGCTGGATTTCTTCCGGCAGGCGGATGTGGTGAGTTTACATAATGTTCTGTCAGAGCGGAGTCGGGGAATCGTGGGGCGGGAGGAGCTCGGAGCGATGAAGAAGTCGGCCCTTCTTGTGAACACGTCACGCGGCCCGTTGGTGGAAGAGACGGCGTTGTTGGAGACGCTGAATCAGGGTGGGATTGCCGCGGCGGCGTTGGATGTGTTTGAGACCGAGCCGTTGCCGGCGGATAGTCCGTGGAGAACGACGGCGTGGGGGAAGGATGGGCGGAGTGAGGTGCTCTTGACGCCGCATATGGGATATGTGGATGAGCAGATCCATGGGTGGTATGAAGAAGTGGCCCAGAATCTGGAGCGGTGGTTGAATGGACAGGAGTTTACGGTGCGGTTGAATTGAGTTTGTGCTGATTCTGGTCGTCCTTTGTTTGAATGTTCAATAGAAGCGGGGATGTCGTGGAATGGCGTGGAATAATGTCGATATTTCAAACCAACTAACTACCTAGTTTATTGAGCCCAAAAATTAGACTAAGAAACTCATGCACGCATCAAGAATAGGACTACACTCTAATGCAGGCAAACCAGTACTATTACGTGATGTACCTCGGCTGATCCACCAGATAACCATAAACAAGGTGCCTGTTCCGTGATCATTCCCGCCCTTCCACTTTAAGCTCCATGACTCTGCCAATAGTCCTGCGTCATCATCTGCTGCCAGATCCACTCGTCCGCAGACATCCTCGGCCGATGCAACATGCTGGAGGTCCTTTACGCCGATACTTAAGGAGGGGAGTAAGTGCCCGTCCGTAATCCCAGTGACGCTCTCATTTCTTCCTACCTACCTACTTACCTACCTACAATACAACCTACATCACTACTACCACTACTATCACTACTATTCCTCCACCTACCTCCCCTCCAAAATGGCAACCACAATGACAACCACAACCACCACCGCTACAACAACACAAGAACCCACCCCTAGCCACCCTGCCCTAATCCAAGTCAATCGCAGCCCAATCCCCTTCGCCAGCGGAGCATACAGTCTGGTGTCCGCACCCGCCGGCTCCCTGCTGTGCAAAATCACCGGAACCACACCGTCCAAGAAAGCCTACACATCTGTGCAAACGGGACGGGACAGCCACATCGAGCTGAACTCCGACCTGGTGTACTGCAACCACTCATGCGACCCGACAGTCAACTTCGACATGCACAACATGGAGGTGCGGGTGGTGGACAACCGCGACTTGAAGGCGGGCGAACCGTTGACATTCTTCTACCCGTCAACGGAGTGGGAGATGGATCAGCCGTTTGAGTGTACGTGTGGCAGTGGGGAGAAATGTAAGGGACGGATTGATGGTGCGAAGAACTTGAGTACGGAGGTGTTGGGGGAGTATTGGTTGAATCCGCATATTGCTGAGATGGTGGCTGAGAGAGAGGCGGGGAGGAACTAGGGAGTGAGTTGGTGAGGGGCATGCATGGTGCGGGTGGGGTGGTGTGATGGTAGACGCTCGATAGACTTAGACTTTGGTGTATATATGATTTGTGGGTGGACTTGTTGTGCTGCTGGCTTAGATGCATAGAATTGTTGGTGTGTTTAGATCTGAGCGGTTTGTATGAGTGGTGGGAATAGATGGTGGACATTCAGATCTCATGATTGTTGTTTTGATGGTGGTGTTGCTATAGTGGGGTTATTATAAGGCTGGGGGTTTCATGTGCCGAGGTAGGGAGATAAGAGGAATCAATCCCATTGTGATTTGTCTGCACCGGCATTGTAGCATATAGCCAATTTGAGAACCTGAGCAGGTGTATTTGAATTCGCCCTCGTAGAATTTGTGGGTTGTAGTTTCATGTTTACTGACAGGTTATAGTATACCTAAAGTGGAAGGCGGGGTAACCACACCCCTTGATAACAGTCATGTGCTTCGGCTCTCAGTTTCTATGGTAGTTTCGCTCTTGACTTTACTGTAGTCGCCCAACAATCATTGACATTTCGCTTTTTCTTCTAAGTAGTTTGCCATCTAAAGTATGATTCTCTCAATACCCTCTATTACCTCACAAGCAGTGTGATAGTATGAGAATACCAAAGGCCTTTCGTCTCTATACATACGTCCCTTGGGATAATACTATGCTAATAAAGTATTGAAGCACAAATAGTCATCGGTGATCAACCGCATGCCGAGAAAGCTGTCGACTATTTTACTTGGTTAGGCCAGCATTGCGTTTCCCCCTGCTTAGGTCGCTCTACAACTTCTATTATGAGCAGAGAAGTGAAATATTCTCCGTTCTAACATGCGAATATAAGCCTGCTTCTTCTACCCAGGGATTTGATGACAGGGTTAGCTGAAGCCTACATATCAATCGGGTTGACAGATCCAGTCCATTCTGGCTGTGTACTTACGTCTAAAGTGATGCCGGCACTCAGGAATCACTGTAAGGGATGATCGGCACAAATACCTCCGAATCAAAGTGTATGATTTCCTATTGGTGAGCGATTGTGACAAACCGGCAGTGTTTACATAACTATGGAATATCGTATTTCAGAAGTTTTTCAGGGTCTGAGAAAGCGCCCACAACCAAGAGCACCATCAGTATGAATAGGATTGCCTTATATGGCAGCTATTTTCGATCTCGAATACAATATTGAATGTATGGGTTCAACAAATAGCTAAGTCCGCAATTCCCTATGTCCGATTGCACTTTCGGCTCAACGGTCGGATTTCGCGTCTTCGGTCTCCGGAGCTTCAGATTTACAAATTAGGCTGTTCTGGAACAGCAGGATAACTCCAATGGAGTGACGTGGGATTTTAGTCACACCACCTATCCGAACACGGAAATTGAGCTCCCTAGCTTCCCCACTCGGTGTCATCGGAACCATGGGAACTTTTGTATAAATCTCCCGCTTCACGCAGCTTAAGTTTGATAGGATCTCAAGCAATCGTCACAAAATGCCTTCTACGATCTTGCTCCAGAACGCGACCATCCTCGTCCCGTCCGGGGATGATGTTACACCACTCCGCGAGCACTCTCTGTTGATTGAGGGGAACAAGATAGCGCAGATCTCGTCGCATATTGCACCTCCATCGGTCGACACTCAGGTTATCGACTGCACGGGGAAGATTGTGTCGCCTGGGTTTATTGATACGCACCATCATCTGTGGCAGACACAGCTCAAGGGGCGTCATGCCGACCATACCTTGATAGAGTATATGCCCACTGGTCAGTTGATTTCTTGCAACCCAGGACTATTAGTTGCTTATAGATGTAGGAAACCTTCAACAAATCAATTATTCACCCGAAGATATCTTCTGGGGCCAGCTGGCAGGCTGTTTAGAGGCCTTGGATGCCGGCACTACAACGGTCGTAGACCATGCCCATATGAATGTTACTGCCGCTCATTGTAAGTTAATAGACTTCGATTATTCCAGCTTAAAGCTCACCCAGTATAGCTTTGCATGGCCTCCAAGCCACGGTCTCATCCGGAATTAGGTCAATTTTCTGCTACACTCCCACTCCCACTGTCAAGTCATGGAAGCCAGAGATAGTACCAGGCGGAAATTTCCTAGATGACTGGGTGGTGAAGCAGCTGAGTGATTTAGCTACTGCAGCTCCTTATGGAGACGGCAGAGTCGAAATAGGGTTGGGCTTTGATGGGCTCATGCTTCCAAAGGATGTCGTGGTATCACTTTACGACAGAGCCCGCAAAGCAGGCACGAAGGTTATAACTACGCACTACGTTCGGGGTCACTTCAGTAGGTTACTCCACACGGAATATGCACAGGACTAACCAGAACAGGCGACGATTCACTTGTTGATCTTCTCGATAGTTATGGTCTGCTTGGACCAGATATCATCCTTTCCCACGCCACGCATCTCACATCAAGCGACGTCGAGAAGCTGTCCAAGGCAAAATCATGGGTCTCATCCACCCCAGGATCGGAACTGCAGATGGCACATGGATACCCAGTTTGCTTCCAGGAGGGATGTAGTAAGATAAGTTCTCTCGGGATCGACTGTCATAGCAGCACCTCTAGCGACCTGGTTACCGCTATGCGTCTTGGGTTGCAAGCCGAACGAGCTCGTCGGAACGAGGAGGTCCTTGCCAGTGGAAAAACTCCCCGCTCGTTGGACCTCTCCGTACAAGACGTTTTCCGTCTGGCAACCATTCAGGGTGCCCGTACCCTACATATGGAAGATAAGTTGGGCTCGATCGAAGTGGGAAAGCTTGCCGATCTGGTCATCTTCGATGGAACCAGCCCGGGGATGGTGTGTGCGAGTGAGCAGGACCCGGTTGCAGCTATTGTCCTTCACTCGTCAATTCGAGATATCGATACCGTCATTGTCGACGGTCAGGTGCGTAAGAAGGATGGTCGACTGACGTCCGTGGAGATAAGCCCGTCGTTTTCGGAGGTCCACATACCCAAGCAAAAGGTGGAATGGGGACATGTGGCGCAGAAACTGGTTACCAGTCGGCAAAGCATTGAGGAAGCCAGGGTGAAGACCGGTGCCACTGATTTGGACTCCATGGTTTCAGCATCGCTCAAGCTATTTCACGCGGATCAGGCACGGTTTGTATGATCAGGCAACTGAGCCTGTTCACACTGCAAACTACATTGCTGACGCTCCAACGAGGCTAGAAAGCAGTGATGCTAAAATTGTAGCGATGGATATAGCCGTGCTTGAGAGGCTACAAGATCCGGATCTGACGATTCATCTAGATAGAATGAGGGGAATCGGCGTGTTATAAGTTGGGATCTTGTTGGGAACTGTCTGTGGAGCAGATGAAATAAACGTTGGGTGGTTGATATAATGCCGAGGCTCCATTCCCGAGATTATAATATCAGAACCAAACTTCATTCCTACTACTAGCTTTGCAGAGTTTGATGAAATTTGTTGCCACAGTCAATTCATACAGCACAGTAGACAAGCTAGCAAATAAAACAAATACATCAACCTGCAAAATAAGCTTCCTACATGCCCAGACAAGGGTGATTTTGTGGGAAATGACACCCCGTCGATCAAGCAAACGAGTAGGACGGCCCCGTCTAGACACCACCGCCACCACCAACACCACCGCCATCCTCTCTCCCAATCGTCGTACCCAAGTCCGTCGTGCCCAGCGCACATACCGACTCAGAAAGGAAGCCGTGTTTCGAAATGCGATCGACAGAGCCGAGCAGCTTGAAGCGAGATTCCGCATCGTCAGGGAAGAGGTAGCAGGGCTACTCGCTGATGTCGCCACTGAGGAACAGCAACTACATCCTACATTCCGTACTCGATTGAAACGACTTCATGAGGTTCTTCTATTCGATGACGGTGACGGCACTCCCGTCGCAACAAGCACGGACAATACTACACCATCATCCTCATTCTCATCCTCGTCCACAGAAACAGATCCATCTCCACCGGGACAACATCACCAACAACCAACATATTCCAATAACAACCACCGTCTAATCCATAACCAACCGCTCACACCCATCCCAACAAAACACCACACCTACGCCTTCCACGAACCCCGTTTCTTGCGCAAACTCCACCGCTACACCCTCGAGCACGCCTACCGCCTCTTCACCGACCCGCGCTCCAACCCATTTACCATCTACCGCGTCTTCCGCCTGGTGCCTTGCATCCGCGATCCGCAGAAGACACAGCCCCGCTTCCAGCAGCTCTTGACGGGCGGGTGTACCGATCCGCTAGAGGTTCCGGGATTACCCTTCTATGGTATCGGCGGCGCAGGCACGCATTTCCGGGGTGTTGACGGGGATGTACCGCGGAATAGGAGGATGCCGGGGAGGGTGTTGGGGGTGATGAGTAGAAGTAGTAATAGTAGCAGCAAGAGTAAGGGTGATATGTTGGAGATGTATGGTCTTGGAGGTACGTGGTTTGATTGTCGTGATGTCGAGGGGTTTTTGGGATTGATGGGGGTGGATGTTACGAGTGGGGGGATGTTTCTGAGGTGTAGTGGGTCTGCTGGGTCTGGGGATGCTGTGGGGGAGTATGTTTTGGATGTTGAGGGGTTCTTTTCGAGTAAGTGGCTTCTTTGATGGTTCCAGTTGGGGTTTGGGTGGTATGCTGATGAGTGATGTACTAGGACTTCTTCCTGGGCTTGTGATTCTTGGTCGTGCGCCGGGGTTTAGGGAGGTGGATGTTAGGCGGGCGTTGCAGGGTTCGGTGCGGAGGGTGGATCATATTTGATTTAAGTAGATCGCTTTAGACTAGTTATTTGCCTCGGGGCTTGGATTGGGTTGATTATAATATCGGTGTGGGGATAATTATAATGTTCGGGGCTTTACGTCAGGCGTGGACTATAGTAGGATAACTGCTGTTATTACTGTCTTTCTCAAGACTGCTAGTAGTAATTAAGTTGATTGAAAGTGTTTAGAAAGCCTCTGGTCAGTACACGATCTCGCTTCAGATCAGGAGAACATAGTCTAAATATCGGGAAAATTACAGAAGCCAGTACTCGCAGACATCAACATCAATATAGTGAAAATTTGTCCGACAATCAGGATTAACAAGCCAGGCGCAATAAAAACCCATCAATAAGCAAAACATCAATGTAGAAAGTACCCAAGCACATCTAAACACGGGTTCCCACCCAAATACAACTTGATATCTTCAAAGTATGGATATATCCCTTATAGTAGCATCGCTCCCTCAATATATGATATACAACTCCGTCAATTTGCACCAAGATGATCCAACTTCGCCTTCGAAAACGGACACATCGCCACCCCCCTCGCCTGAATCACCTCAATATCACTTCTCATTTCCTCCACTCCTCTTCCTCTTTGCGGCTCCGGCCCAATCGTCATCAGATCGTATCCTTGTGGTTGATACCGGTCTCCACGCGAACCAGGCACCTTGCCTCCGAACAATCTAATCAGCAATGCCCCCGGACCCCATTTCGACCAAACAGTAGGTCGGATATACCACGGTTGCAGGACTTTTCTCTCAAAGTTGTACAACTTCGTCTCTTGATTCGGCACATCATGCACTAATTTGACGGCACGGAAAGTCGGACGCGGAAGGGCAAGATATCGGAGGAATAGTTTTCGTGAAGTTTGCACGAGGTTTATCACGAATGATAAGAAGTATCCGGCGGATTCGAGACTAAAAGATCTGTTAGCATAGGGCCGAACCAATTATTGAATTGACAAAGTATAAGGAATGAGAAACCCACCCCAAACTCAACCGCATCACCTCATCCAACCCAGCACCCAACATCCGCCTCACCACAGGCCTCACCAACCGCGGAAGCGCAGAATCCACATAAACACGAACATACTGATCATTCGTCTTCGTAAACATCGCAACCCTCTCCTCATACTGGACCGTCCAACGAGTCAACTCCATTGCGAATCGCACCCCATCTTCCCATCCCTCCGCCTTCGACGGAAGCACATCAAAAGGAATACCCATATCATCACCCAGATTCTTGTGGAAGATCCCAAGAGCACAGATCTCCACGTCTGTGAGACCACGCCACTCTTCTCGCTCAATGACGTTCAGAATCTCGGCGAGTCCATCGCCGAGGGTATGCAGGAGATCGTCATCGGTGATTTTGTTGGCACGGCGGTAGCGCGCGTGACTATAGTGGTTAGTTTATATATCCTGAAACAAAATCTCTTTGATTCTAACGAAGGTATCATGTACACACAGATAATTCATCCTCGCCACAGCAGTCGCATAGCGATCTGAATCCCTCCGCTGGGACTGCGACTCCCGGAGAAGGATCTCCGTGTCGACGGCGCGTTTACCCGCATTTCGCCGGTTATTCTGGCCCGTCACGGCGAATAGCTTCGACATGGTGGGGATGCCTCCGGCCTTATATCTGATCAGTTCCTTGGTTGCAGTTCGGTGCTATGCGGTCGTGCGTACCTTCAAGAGAGCCATCCGACGAGCCTTGGCAAACGCATAGGGGAATTCCAACTCTTGTAGTTGGGTTATGATTGCGTGTGCTTCTTCGATGGTCATGCTTGATAGAGGTCTTTTGTTGGCGCTAAACGGGGCTTCTATTGCTGTTTTGCGCTGGTATCGGAGGTGTTGGACTAGGGTTAGGTAGATGGTGAGGGCTAGTATGGCTATTGAGGTGGTTAGGGGGTGGATGGTAATCATCCATTGTTCTTGTAGTTGGTCGGTGGTGGTCATTTTGTTGTCTGGCTTTTTGTATTGTGATAATGGTCGTTGGCGTTATCACTCAGATAGGGGTTGGCTGGCAGATCCAAGATAATTCGTGCTAGGTGGTCGGATGAGGTTATATATGTTGACAACAGACTACTGATTTAAAATAAGACTCCCAACAAAAGAAAAGAAAAATGGTCAGAGGCATATGAAAATTTTTTACGAATCGTTGGTCCCAGATCTCCCCCAGCGAAGGATTTAATATTAGTATGACCGAGATATTGTAATCCAGGGCTTGCGCCGAGGCCGCTCACTGACCTACCCCAACACCACACCACTACAAACTCCACATAGTATAGTATTATTCTTCTGCTAAGCATAGCACTATGTCTGATTCTCATGTGTTTGGTAACGACATGTGCAATCACATGGCTACTGTCCGATATCTTGAGCGCGAACTCCTAATAGTACCATTACATACAAGGCCCGAGCAAAACAATACTCTATGAAACCTAGATTATGCCCAATAGTCATGAACTACTCATTCTGTGCACACAAATCCATTAGTTCTCGAGTCTGATCTTAGCCACTCGGCTACACTGACATATTTGAGTAAATGTGACAATCTTTAGTACTACTATATGGATCATCATACAGTATGTGGCTCTACTGTCCATTTAATTGTAGGGGGTGTTGTCAAAGAACATTGAACCTAATGATGTTAAGATTTATCCTTCACCCGCAGCTACCTGCAGACCAGTAGGATTCTTCTGCTTATTAGTTAATCTGGACACGCGGGAGCAGGTGGTTTATGACCCACTAGATCGATCTATTACAGAATTATATTAGGCTGTGTCATAGAAAGGGGCTATTAAAGAATCTATTGTAATACTACTGTACAATTCTGGGCCTAGGTTTCATTAGGATGTAAGTAAGAACCTACAGGAAATTTTACTAGATTCAGTTTAGAAACATGATGAAGAAAAGTGGTATAAATCAGACTAGTAGTCCTCCATTATCTTGCATCTGGATATATACTATCAAGTGTAGTATTCTTCCCCCCAACACTAGACATATGTTCAATCAATTCCTCCGTTGTCGTAATGCAAGGCATCCGTGGAAATCGAACCTACTCTACTATGTACTCTAGCATGGACGAGAGAAATTTCATATTAGATAACCGTAGGAGTACTACACCACATGGACACTCATCACAAGTGATCAGATCGATAGGAACAGGATGACATCAGTGGACAATAGAATATTGGATGAGGTTCAATAAGCTTTGACTTCCGACGACCAGGGTTTGATTAGGACGATCCCTTACAGGGATATATTTGTCGGTCGATTCCGACAAGGAAACTTCAGGGCATATTACGGTTGGCCCAGTCGGGTGTCCCGGTTTGTCGGAACGAAATTTGGGCGTATAGCCGGGATAGTTTGTATACGGTCCTATTACAAGACATGATGGAATATTCATTACTTATGCAGTTCTTGAACAGTGACTTGGTTCAAATATGGCTAAAGACTATCCCGGCCTTCCATATCTCAGACCGTTGCAGTGCAGTGTGAGAGTACCTGCGGCTGCATTATTCTGCAGCGGTGCCTCTACCATAGCAACCACAGTTGCCTAACCAGGTAGAGGAATAGTACCAGGCAATCACGCTAGCTCGCCGTTGGCTCATATCTTCAATGTAGAAACGAAGAAATAGTTGGAGCCATGACCCACCCCGGAATGTCCGAGAAACGCCACGCATTGGCGGTTCTTACCAAGTGGACCGCTATGAGCCCTTAGTCTCTGCAAAAGAGCCCTGAAAAGCCAGTATGATCCCTCAAATGCAACCCTGACGTGGTCATAGCCGAAGAAAACGACCGTGGCCCAATTTGCATTCTGCATGAACCAAACTTTTGTCTTGTGAAACAGAAAATTGACAGGAAAAGCGAGGGTTGATCCATCGCTCGTTCAGATAGGCCCGTGAGCCGGCAAGTGATCGGTTATGCAGATTAATGTGCACGCCAAACAGACCCAATCATAGGCTGACCTGCATATGCAAGATTTGCTGTCGGTGACCCAACCTCAACCCTGGGCGTTTACCAGCGCGCTATGTCGGGCCCATTGATCGACATATGCCGGGAGATTCGTGAAGAATGGGCTTATGTAGCCATGTTGCCTCTTCTGACGCTCGGGTGATTCAATCTTCATTGCTTCCGGTGCCAAGAAAAGACATGCACCTTGGGTTCCACCTCCTTTCCTCATCGTAGTCTCCAGAACTGGCTACTTTATGGTTCTCAGTGTATGTAGCGCTTAAGAGACTTTCACCCACCCCCAACATAGTAGACAGACAGCACCTAAGACCTGCATGGCTGATAGTGATGTCTTGAACTGCATAGTCAGGTATCGAAACGGGAGGGCGAAAAGGGCCCCCATAGACGCTCACAGTACTCAGCCATCCACCCAACCATGCCAGAGCCACCATAGGAGAAGCGAGGAGACGGGAGGATATGGAGATGATAGGAAATCTGTGGTTGGAAGCCTGGCAAATGTATGTTCTCACTTTTTTCTTCTTTTAACAGTGAACTAAGGGAATTATATTACCCTTCACATAACCTGGCCCCTTTTTCCCTTCCCCTCGTCTCCTTCACCGAGGCCTCTAACGTAGCTTCTCATTGTCTCGTCGAATAATATGGTAAAAGGTGAACCGGTACTGTCGTCGCGTGCTCATGTCGGAGTCGTAGATAGGAAAGGTAAGTTGGTCATCAATTTGATATATATCGTCGCTGGTGGTAGGGTTCGTTTTATTTCTCGTCATTGGGTAAACCATCCGGCCTGGAGCTCGCCGGTGTGCTGTTGTTGCCGTCTGTTGCCACGGAGTCCACCCCGTCAAGAATATTTATCTCATCTTTCGGTGCGGAGCGAGCAATAACGGCCCGGATTTCATCATGAGTTGCGCCCGATCGGATGACGTCGAGAATGCCGTCGATGGTGGCACGATCACCGAATCGCAGCGCCTCAAGGAGTTGTTCCACAAAGCCACGGTAATATTTCAAATCCTCCTGGGCACGCTTGGCCGCGACTTTACGTCGCTTGTCGGCGAATTCATCGATCACGCACTCCCGGTCGTGAAGAGCACATTCAGCGCACGGCGTCCCTGTTGTATCTGCACTACACTGTGATACGGCCGGCCGAGTCAGAACAGAAAGAGTGAGAAGATAGAAGAACTTAATGGAGGGGCTAGATGAACCATTATGATGCATCATAAAGGAAAGGAAACCGCTAGAGTGTACTAGAACAGCCAAGCTGGGGGGGAGTTTTCACCTTCGTTCGACGTCGTTTACATTCCCCGCAAGCCGTAGAAGCGCGCTTTATTTTCCCCTCCTCGGGCGCAGCAGCCGGGGTTGGAGGTTCTGGTATCCTCCTTGGGGCAATGGGACGAAAAGGTTTCCCAGACCCTTGTTGGGCCATGACTTAAGAAAGAGTGTGTCTGTATATGATGACGGAGGAGAAGAAGCAGCGATGGGAGAAAACAAGAGGCCCGTGGGAGGGGGGCAGCGAAGTGCCAGATAAGATCGCGGGTAGAAAGTTCTAGGAGCACTCGCCTCATTTGGAGGCGCATCTATGCCGGACGACCAGAGAAGGCCCTATGTTCAACGGGCTAGCCAGGTCTTGCAGCGTTGTCGCACCGGCGTACCGCGGGCGGTCGAGACGAGCGAAAGTGGGTGGGTTGGAAAAGCACCATCTGCACACTCAAGGGGGGAAATCCCAAAAAAACTCAAAATTACGGCCCAATACAAGTAGGGGGGAGGGAAATAGGATCGGTGTGTGTTGTGACTTGTGACACATCGGGGGCCTACGCAGGCCCACGGGCCGTCCCCAACGCTGTGGCTCTCCTCCAGTCGTTCCAGGAACAGCAAACCCTCGGGCATTTATAGCCAAGAAGCCGGGTGCAAGAAGATTGTGCCAGCGAAGGAGAACCCCAACTGAAAGTGGGAGGAAGTTGTGCGAGTCAGGTCGACGGGACCAGTGCATGGAACATCCAGCTGGATGGGAGAATTTGCAATCGCAATGGCTATCAGGGACAGCCCAGCCTTCGTTTTTTGGACAGACCCAGCAGCGGTCAGACAGGGAGTTTGGCGATTAGGCAGTCTCAATAGTCACCAACTCGGCGATGCGCAGCTAAAATGCCTAAAGGGCCCATCCGTCCTTCTCCCTGAGTAATATGGTTTTCCCACCACCACTCTTTGGATCAGATTTTGTTCCTCCTTTCCGTTTTGAGCAGCTCTACCGGCGTTCCCCTGTCCAATATTCCTCGGGTATCTGTAGAATCTAGTTTTGTTGAACCTTTCCTTTCCCTGTTTCTGCTGTAGGCGGTTCTGTGGATGGGATGGTTTCCTCACGCCCCTTCATACACGCTCGAAGAATCCTCTCGCAAGGGGGTTCTTTAATGGAAAAATTACTGGGATTGTGCGAGCATAACTGTGACCGAATCAACGGAGGACCATTGGTTGACTAAAGTAACGGCCGGCGCTCTGCGCGAATTCAATGGCGGCGCGAGGCCGGATATTTTATCCGTTAGATTTGATAGGCCACGGGGAGATCAAATCGACGGAACAAACAGAGGACCCAGGACCTTAGTCCGCTGGGTCGATGTCTTCGTCAACTACCTGCTTCCAGAGGATCTTAGCCACAGAGTGACCACCCACGTATGCGATGAGGAAACACAGACCAAGAGCGGGTTGTGCCCCGATTACTGGTTCTGCAAAGCTAAGGTGTGGATGCAGTTCAATGCACCGTGGGAAAGCTGAAGTGCCTGGTTTTGCCCCCAACTTAGTTCCTTCATATACTGCAGGCCAGAAACCCGGGGACTAGGGGTACCATAGGACACCGCAACGCTATAGAAGAACCAGTATTTGAACCAGTAGTACCGGGGGAGGCGACTAGAATTGAGGATTGAAGTTTAACCAACTGCCGGCTGTCGAGGAGGAGATCAGCTGTCATCGCAAGGCAGGCGCTCACGTGCCCGGGTGGCCCACCGCCGCTAGTCCCGGTCGGACTTGGCCTGATTTGGGAAGTTCAACCCAAGTCTAGATTTCCAACCAGTGGATGGAGGGAGCATTGGGTTTCCTCAAATACATGAGCAGGAAGACGTTGGTTGCCGGTCTGACTTTTCGATAGACGTCAGTCACCCCTGCTCTCTTTCCTTTTCATCATGGCTGGCCTGAGCTGATACGAGCTCACCCCAAGCAAAGGTCATTCGCTCTCTCCCTTCTCCTACTATTTACTGCCTGTGACAACCTATAGACTGATTAGACTTCCTAACATCTCCCAGGGGCAAGTTTTCTACCACCTACGTACTGCCTACGAACGGGCAAGGCTCCGGAACTACGCCGCATCTATATCTTCTGCTTGCCAATCACATACTGATAATCTAACCCCTTCGAGATAGCCGACGCGACTAGAGAACAAACCCTATGGGGTCATGCTCGGGACCCAGATCGCTAAGGCAGTTTCACTAGTTGCCAATCCACTACGTGGCAGAGTACTGGGTAAGTGCGAGTTATCGTCTCGAGGAAGCTGATAAATATGTAGATCCTGAACCGCCCAGTTATACAGCAAACCACTCCACTACATCCGCTGGCGGCCGAAGCTCGGTTGCGGGAGTGGGGAGTGCGAGCGTTGCAACATTCCAACTAGTATAGGAGCCCGTCAATCGTTGCTATTGTAACCACGGCTCCGTTCCTCTCGATGCGGATGATCAGGAGTATCAAGCGCTTGATAGGCTGGCATCTATGCCGTGGCTGTGGGGTCGTGTGATCGCACACAAAAGTCGGTTCGGTACGCCACCTTGATGTCACGAACCAGAGTTGCCTGGTGATGAACCTAACTAACTTACCGAACTGCCATCCTTGCTAGATGCATGCGTTCACTTCATGTCCAAGGTGATAGCAACATACCGACAGAGCAAGGATGGGGTAATGGGGGCATCTCGCATTGCTTCCGTGCGCCACCTCACCTTCAAAGAAAAATTCCTGCGCCAACTATTCGAAGCTCGTAAAACCCTTTAACGAACCTGTGGGTTCAACAGGTTTGGAGCAGGCGATCCACACCGCCAAAACATCGTACGAACAAAGTGCAGCTCAATTGGAACACCACGAGCAAAATTGTCTGCTTATTTCAAAATCCTGATCTGCAGGGGAATCCTAATAGTGTATACACGAAGTTGTAAAATAATGTAGAGGGCAAAGTATGAGTTCCAAGAAGGGAATAAGGACGGGACGGAGCAGACCTTCAGTAGATAGGCCTGCCCTCATCCCATTTGCGCAATTCTCCCGGGCTCTGCGCCAGCGTGGCCTCTCCAACGGGCTGGTCACGGCTCTGCTCGGCAGGGAGTGGAGAGAAATGCACCTTACCGCTCTCACGGCCTGTTGCAGTGCTACTCTCAATCTCGCTCCGGACACTGCCAATCCCACCGATCCACTCCCAGACGCGAGCAACATCCCCACCACGGCCCTCACGAACTGAAGCGCGAACGTTGGCATTGCCCTCCACTACATTACGAACGCGCTTCCACAATGCTTCGCGCCGACTGCCGCGCAGCTCTGAACGGAGAACGTCGTCGCGCAATTGGCCAATGGGAATATAGGGCTCGCGAGCAGCACCCCGAGCGTGAAGGGCAGCCTGCGTCGCCAGGCGGTCGAGTGTCGTAGCGACTAATTCTGGGACTCGAGCCATATCAGAACGGCGAGCCCGGACTCTTGAGCGTGCGTAAAGAATTACACATGCGCACAGAGCTAGAACCGAAAGAGGGAATCGATACGCGACGAGAGAGAGTCGGATGTTGCGGCGGAAGGCGCATGTGAGAGGGAGACGGCTGACGGAGGTCGAGGTGAGGGTGAGGACAGAGGATGGTCTGTAATCATGTTGTCGCCTCTGTTAGTTCCGTGAAAACACGTCAGAATCTGATTCCTTCGGTGCCACCATAGGGTCCGGGCAGGTGTGATAGAGCCTCCAGATTAGGAAAGTTGATCGACTTACTGTTTCATTCTGGTAACAACCTCCTCCCTTCCAATTACCTCACCCAGAGCTCCCTTCCAAAGGTCATCAAACTCTGTGTCACTCATGCCTTTCCGACGCTGTCTCCCCACTTCCTGCTTCAAGTCGGATTCGCTGATTTCTGCACCGACGGTGCCTTCCTCATCCTGCGCCAGCTCGCCACACTCCCACTTCGCCCTACGATCGCGCAAGGCTTCCAAAGCCTTATCAGCGACAGCCTTCACGCGACGCGCTTTCTCGCTGTCTGGCTCACAGGTTGGGGGTAGCGGAACCAACCCTCCAAGAGACAGCGGATGCGCCTTGAGCAGGAAGTCGTGTTCACACCGAGCTTCAAAATTGGGATAGCAAAATGCGTGCGGGGGGCATGGTTCACATTGCGGTTCAAGAACATTGGCCCATTCAGGGACCCTGGTTTCAGCCAAGGACCAAGTGGGTTTGCCAATGCCGCAGAATCCAATCTCGATCTTCTCCTTACGCCACCAAGCACCGAAACTTGCGAACAATACAACGAGGATAACCCAAGGCGCTGCACGGCTTGCAGTTCCCTGTTTCTGTGGCCGCCGGCTTGGAGCACTGTACATCAAGTCGGCGTGCTCCCTCTCGAGCGCCAACTGCTCGTCTGGTGTAAATTCCTCGCCTGCACTAAAGTCGCTGTCCTCCTCGTACTTGATTGGATCAAAATTCTGTGGAGGAGTTCTCATATTTGAGATGGCGGGCTCGAATGGTGACCGCTTTGACGGAGTAGCACCATGCTGATCGTGCAGATCCGCTGGCGTGACGGAATTCCTTGACCGCAGACCGCTACTCAAGGCAGGCGATTCGAGCGAAAACCGCGAGCTGCTCTTTCTTTCCGATCTATGACTAGACGGCCTCGGGCTCTTGTATTCCCAACGGGCTGGCGATCCACTTTGGAAGGGATTATCATCGGTGAAAACGCTCTCCTCCTTCGGTTCGAGTTTAATGGCAGAAATCGGGGGTTCGGGGTTCACAGATGGTGTCATTTCGCTGCGTCTGGGTTTTCTGGCAGTGGACTTCCGTGGTGTCATAGTGTCAGTTGCCACAGGTGTTGCCAACATATCATCCTGCGGCTCCGTGTCTGACGTGCGGTATCTTCTCGATTGCGATCTCGGGATAGATTTCCTCGAGCTCACCGACGGAGTAGCTGTAGCATTCCTTTCCTCAGTGTCGGCTGTCGATGCTCTGACACTTGCTCTAGAGCGTCCCCTTCTTCCAGTGGCTGTCGATACCGTAGACGGTGTAGGCGGGGGTGGCATCGAGTCTCTCGCCGGAGTTCCGCGCTGGTCGTCATAGTCGCTCACAACTGACGTCGCGCGACTTCCCATGTCTGTAATACCCTCGCTGGTTCTCCTGACTCTCTCGCGCTCTCTCAATAGCTTTCGGGCCTGGGGCAT